AAGTTTACAGGTCAGTGGTGAGACCAGCTATATCTGGAAATAGTGGCACTGACAAAAAGACAGGAGACAGAACTAGAAGTGGCAGAAATTAAGATGTTGAGGTTCTCCATAGAAGTGACAAGGATGGATAAGATTAGGAATGAGATAATCAGAGGTACAGCACAGGTTGAACAACTGGGAGATAAAGTTAGAGAGACCAGACTGAGATGGTTTGGACATGTCCAGAGGAGGGACAGTGGGTATATTGGTAGAAATGCAGCTGCCAGGAAAAAGACATAGAGGAGATATATGGATGCAGTTAGAGAGGACATGGAGGTAGTTGGAGTGAGGGCAGAGGATGCAGAGGACAGAGTGAGATGGAGGAGGATGACTCACTGTGGAGACTCTTGAAGAATGAAAAACAAAAGAAGAAGAGTCAGACCTGATGATGAGAGACATGGTTGAAGAGAAGAAAAAAAAAAGAACAAACAAATAAATGAATAAATAAATAAACCACTGTGAAAACCATTTAATGACTTAAACGAAAAGAAAAGTTCCTTTTCATATTTGAAGAATTCCTGGAGTTTTTTGTAGTTTAGTCAGTTTTTAAATACAAACATTGGAAAAGGGATTTTGCAATCATGTGAAGTGTGACAGCTACTAAATTCTTGTTTAATTTTTACTCGATCGTTCAAAATTCTTAATTGTCTCAGAATTAATTTTACATTCACTAAAACAGAAGACTACCTCATTATTTTTATGATCGATAAAAACAGCTCCTTGTTTTCCTCTCAACCTAAAAATCTGACGTTTTTAGTTCCTGAAAAGAGTTCCTCCTCCTCTGTGAAAGAAACAAACTTTACCCAGTTTCATATTCAACCCCGCCTCCCCAACCCCACCAAAAATTGTATTTGACCAATTTGTCATTTTAAAGAATAAACACAATATGCCCCCGAGCGCAGATTCAATGAGCATTGACAGAAACTTGCTTTTTTCTAACACTAATGGCTGAGTGTGCATGCTTGCTTTGACCTCTGACCTGTGAGGTCATATGCAGGCTACCATAACCTTGACCTTTGGGCGCAGCAAGCAGTTCAAATATTTTACTTCAGCATGTTTGTTTTCCAAAGCCTTCTTCTCCCCGCAGTGATTCCAGCTGGGCTGCTGCAGAGGTTTTTGTGACGCATTCAAAAGAGGAAATAAACTGAAAGGCAGCCGGGGTGAGACCGTGTCAGGGTGGCCTTTGAGGCTTTTATATTAGAATAAAGACTCAGCGGCTCAAGGAGAAGCTGAGTTTGCCTTTCTTGCTTGTTGTTTTGTGATATTATTGTACACTTGTCCGTGTTCTGGATCTTTTCTTTTTTCCTCTTTGTTCCAGAATAATATTGCACACTGCTGTGTGCTCAGAGGGCAGCAATTTATTGGCCAAGACACCAGAGCTAACCTCTCATGTGTTGTTAAGATCTGACCCAAATAACCGCTCGGTAAATATTTGGTGTTGCTTAACTAGGGCCAGGGTAAGTGGCCTACATAATTCAACAAAGATGTTGTATTTAACTGTCAGTTTCAGTAACCCTAACTAGATTAATGTTCTTCGCTCTGACACTGCAGTTTGAACTCATTTGAGCAGACTCATTTATTATAATAGACCCAGAGGTTTACCACTTAAAAAAAAAAAACACAGGGCAGATATATGAAGACAAAGCAGTACATATGTTATGTGTTATGTTGAGTTGAACTGGTTTATGCCGTTTTACTTATCTGATGTGTGTAAAAATGTAAAACACAAATCACAAAACGTGTATTTTTCTCTAAATAAAACTAAATATAAAGTGGTCATGGCCGTGTTGCACTGTAAAGTCACTTGTGAAAGGATAAGAGGTTGAATTTTTAGCTGTGTGAATGCTGACTCAGCATTTATACTATTTTTGTTGTTATTGATAATAGTTTTTGTAATATGTTTTTTCGCAATCAAATTAAGTCCACATATTATGTGGCAACACGATGGAGCAGTGGTTCTCATTGTTGCATTGCAGTAAGAAGGTCCTGGGTTTGATCCACAGCTTGGACCTGGGCTCTTTCTATGTGGAGTTCCTGGTACTTGAGTTTCCTCCCACATATCAGAAACATGCATGTTAGACTGTCTTCAGGCCCAGGCCTCCCTTGCAAAATAGATCAGTGATCTTGATGGGATTTGCCTGGTGAATAAATAAATACATTTGTTTTTTTAACCATTCAGTTTCAGCTTAGTTTTAGTTTAGTTTATTTATATAGCGCCAAGTCACAAGAGAAGTCGTCTCAGAGCACTGAACAGAAACATTCATATATAAAAATAATAATTTAATATTATTTATCTGAGGAGCAGACTGCTTTGAGTTTAACTCCATCACAGAACTCTCATCTTGAGCATGAAGGCGACAGTGGAAAGGAAAAACTCCCTCATGAGGAAGAAACCTTTAGCAGAACCAGGCTCATGGACAAGCGACCATCTGCTTCAACTGGCTGGGTTTGAGAGGAACAGATACACAACGGCAGGTCAAGAATCACATGTTAAGATAGAAATAATATCAAATTAAAACTATAAATCATTTAAGGAAATTAGGTCAAATTGTCCTATAGTAATTTAAGTTTAATAACAGCAGCATAACAAGCCAACCCTAACTATAGGATTTATCATAAAGGAAAGTCTTAAGCCCAGTCTTAAACTGGACAATGTGTCAGCCTCACGGACAGAAACTGGTAGTTGGTTCCACAAGAGAGGAGCCTGATAACTGAAAGATCTTCCTCTCATTCTGCTTTTGGAAACTCTAGGGACCACGAGTAAGCCTGCAGTCTGAGAGCGAAGTGCTCTGTTAGGAAAATATGGAACAATAAGTTCTTGAATAAAAGATGGAGCTAGGTTGTTGAGAGCTTTGTAGGTAAGAAGTAAGATTTTGAATACAATTCTGGATTTGACATTTGACATTCATACATCAACACACTTGGCTCAATCGAGAATAGTGTTCTTTGATTTTTGAATTTGTGACTTTTATACTTTTTTAATTATTTACCTTTAAAAAAAATTAACATTTCCTATTCAAATACATCTAAAATGCCTAAACTTTTCTGAAATCTATACTTCAGTATAATTACTCTCTTTTGTATTTTTTAAGCCCTTTTCAGCTTTTAGCTACTGGCTAGCTAATTTTACCTTTCAGGCTTTCAGCCTTACCTTTCATGGCATTGGTGTTTTTAGCTTTTATGTACAATTTTGCTCATTTCATCTTTTAACTAACATGTTGCTAATTTTTCTTCTGTCCAGTTTGTTTTAAATTTAGCATTTCAGTCTTTTCAATAGCTTCTTCAACAAATTTCAGCAGTCATTCGGCAGTCAGCATTTATACTACTCTTTGGCAAAAAAAAAAGCAAAATTCTATAGTTTTACTTGCATCTTGTTCTTTTTGTTTTTTTTCTACAACACAATATATTTGTGTTTTTATGCAACGTGGGCCAGTGTACAATAATATC